CTGCGTACACTATAAAACTTTGCATTTTATTTCGTCAATCTTAATATTGATGTTGACACGGATGAACTTTATAATATTCAAATACAGCAAGTCTTTACGAATAGAATGATATATAATTTGTGACAAAACAATGTGGATAATTATTTAAAAACGATAAAATAATGTAAACAAAGACGAGAAACGAAAAAAAAACAACTGTCAGCGTAGCTGTCGATTATTCAATTATAACAGCACTGAATGAATGAAGTGAGAAGTAAACTCTACTTGACTTCAATGCAAAATTTCCTCTACTAGCCTCTATTTTGGTACAGAATAAACAACACAAATCAACGCAATAGTTTAAAAAGAATAAAAAACCGGTATATGTTAATTGACAGTATTCACCAACATTTATTATGTATACTAAAAAAAATACTGAGAATTATTCTTTGAACGGTTAACTATTCTATTAATGTCTATTTTAGTTAAATCAAAATTAATATAAAGAAATTGTAGACATTTTTGTGTTCGGTTTCATTTACGGAGACTTAAACAATACTAAGAAATATTTATTGAATGGTCAATTATTCTAATGTCTATTTTTGCGAGAAAAAAAATCGATGTGAAAAAAATTTCATTTTTGTGTTTGTTTCCATTTTCCGAGAATTTCTTCAACCTTTTTGGTAGTTGGTGCCATTTCGTCAATAAATTTGTGCATCTTTTGAACGTATTGCATCAACACGGCCATTTCATCCGCATCTAGTGGAGTCGCAGCATTCGAATCAATCGCAACAGTCAATAGAGGATTTGTGGTTGGTGGAGTTTGGTTGTGAACATTTGGATGGTTTGTCGATGATGAGGCACGTATTTCTTTTTGGAATTCGGAACGGGATTGTGATCGGTTTGGCGAGCGAGATCGGGAACGTGAAGACTCAGAAGAACTTGACGGATTTGACGAACTAGACGAGTACGAGCGCCCACGACGGTGACGGCGATTACAACAACGTCGATCACAACAACGTCGATCACATTTGCCACTTTTTTTGCGATGTGAGGAATAAGCCTTTTGGTCGCGATAATAATATTTGCGGTGGCGTTTGGAACGGCGTTCATGTTCATGCTTACGGCTAGCACTTTTTCCATGATTTGATGAACCATCCTAAATTGTTCAATATGTATTTATTAGAAAACATATTACCAGTCAGGTCAGTAAACGTTATTTTATTATTATTGAACAAATACCACAAACCTTGATTTCATCGAACACTTTTTTTCCTGGTTCTGAATATGGAGAGTCCTCTACGACTTTTGGTGTATTCTCCTTTGGTGAGTCCATATTCTTTTGTGGAGTAGTATTTTCGTTGGGTTTTTGGGGAGTGTTTTGTTTGGTTGGTCGACGAGTATCTTCCATGGTTGGTTGAGGAGTTTTTTCTTTGGTTGTTCGGGGAGTATTTTGCTTGGTTGGTCGAGAAATATTTTCCAAGGTTGGTAGAGGAGTATCTGGCTTCTTTGTTCGACTCACCTTCGACTTTTCTTTCTTGGCCTCGTTACATTTCTTCACATGATTGTTCAAGTTTGTCTTCGTTGTAAATTCGTGGTCGCAAACTTCGCACTTGAATCGCTTTTGATTGCGATGTTTAGTAGAGATTAGCCGCGCCATATTATTCTTTGAAATAAGTTCATCGCATTCGTCACACTTCTTTTTGTCTACAAAACGGACGGCAAAAATGATTAACATCACGATAAAGTATTATTGCTTTTTAATTGCATTTCAAATGTACGATACTGAGTAGGGCATATTTTAGTCCGGTACTTACTCTTCTTCTTATTGTGAAATTCACT